AATATTTATGAAATTCTCTTCTTTTTTTTTAATTAAGGAACTCTCATTTTTTTCTATGGTAGTCTATCCGTAACATTATTATGAAAAGGTCATGTGTTCTAAGAGTTGTCCTCTTTTTACAGAGAATTTCGCTTGTCCCGTTATGCATTGCTTACGTTTCAACAGGTTTTGAACATCATTCCATCAGTTTTAAAACTTTCAAATTTAAAGCAAGTTTTACTTTTTTAAATTTCTATTTCACGAAATATTTTAATTTTATGTATTTATTTCAGAGTGGGTCATAAATATTTCAGTTATCCTCTATCATGGCATTTCATCTAAATTATTAAATTTTAAAATTAATCTAAGAAAATTTTATAGTATTTTAAATTTTATCATTATTTCATAAAGCATCTGCAAATGCAATTAAAAGTCAATAAAATATTAGATAATTGCTGAAAACATGTTAATTTGTAAAAATTACTAGGTATTTAACCATCCACCCCACCAAAAATGCGTTCACTTAGATTTCGTAAATTTATGCCCATTTTGGCCATCCATATTAGCTGTCAACACCTCGGAGCTTATTGATAACGTCAATAAAGAGATGAGAAAAGCAGGACCCGTCGTTAAGCAATGCTTGTATACTATTTTTTATGCTATAAGTAAATAAAATTTGTTTCAAATCAGATTAACTTAAGTTTAAATTTGCTAATTTTAGTCAAAATCAGTGTCACAAATACTTATTTTATTTTTGGAAGATTTTTAAAATTGATAATTAAATTTTATTTTAAAACTTGTTAAAATGTAAGAAATGGCTGCCAGTAATTTTTTTGAAATCGAGAAAATATTATACATTCCAATCTACATAATTTCTATTTGAAATACACCAGAGTATTTTAGATACTGAAAATAGTCAATTTAATCCTTTAGCTTTCAATTAAAGCTAAAAAAAAATCTTCAAGAATGCGTTTTCATTTTATAAATTCATTTTAAACCTTAGGTATCGAATATTTATACCGAATTAGTGGAGGTACCTAATTTTAAGTAAATGATTGTGAAATTTCAAAACTAAAGTTTTGACGTCTTGCTTCTAAATTCCCGCTACCTCCACTAAATAGTAATGTCTCCTTTCATAAATATTTATTTAAAAAGAAACTTATAAGAAAAACACTTTTTACGAGAAATTTGAATCTAGATAACACTATAATTAAATTTATAATTAATAACATAGATTATGATTGGATTAGCTTTATTGTTTGACATTTGAATGAACATGTTGCTTTTTTTTGTAAAAATGGGCTTCTTCTCGTTTAGTTTTACTTTCTTTAAACAAAATTTTATATAGTTGTGTTGGGTTAATTTTTATTTGTTGTAAATTTTGAATGAATACAGTTCTTCAACAAAAATTACAAAGGCTATACTGTTTTTATTTCTTTAAAAAGAAATAACTAAACCTTAATTTATTTAACACTTTTTATTAAAATAATTTGAAAAAATAAGAGACAAGAACTTTAACAGAGATAAATAGATGCTATTTGCTTGAAAATAATAGATTATTGTAATTAAATATTTATTTCAAAAATATTCGTTTAAAAATATTGGCGGGTTGGCTTAGCTACCTAAAGCCATCCAGCAAGTACAGCCCTGGTGTTGTTTCAGTGGGGTTTTATCTGAACTGGAAACCAAGATTTTTTTAGTTAGGGAGTGGATAGCCCACTCTAGAAAGTAGGGACTTGGTATTTTTGTAGTGGTGTTTTATCTAGATTCCCATAGTTAATAATACTTTTTAAAAAATATTGGGGCAGCAGGCCCTCTAAGCCCACCTTTGGCAAGTATGGCATTGGTATTGTTGTAGTGGGGTTTTATCTTGACCCCACGATTTTCAGTTATTTAAAAATATAGGTGAGGTGGGCTTAGCTCCCAAATCCCCACATCCGAACGGCCCTAAAATCTATTTTCAGTCGACTTTTATTTCAATAGAACGAATTTTCCACGCACCATATATGTGTGTGTATATGTGTGCATGTGCGTGTTAGATTTCATATATAACTAAAAACATATCTGTAAATGAATAAAGACAAAAGGAAGACTTATCTTAGCCAACTTCATCCAGGCAAATGTAAGGGATTTATTTTGCAATAAGTATTTATAAAAAATACTTGCGACATTTTTACTTTTGTTTATAAATACTTGTAGCAAAATAAAATCATTACATTCGCCTTGATAAAGTCAAACGTGTCGCCTAAGATAAGTTTTCCTTTTGTCTTTATTCATATATATATATATATATATATATATATATATATATATATATATATATATATATATATGTATATATATATATATATTACAATGAATCATTCATACAAAAAGTAGATTAGTAAAGTTAATGATATAAAATAGTGAAATTCCTTCGCGAACAAAATTTTAAAGTTGCATTAACCTACAAATCACTCGATGAATGTTATGATCCTTGTTTTTAAAAATTATAAGCTGTATAAGGTCTTTCTTTAATACGCAAGAACTTTCAACTGTACATTCAGTCATCTTCAGGCATGGAAATTATTTTGTTTTTGGTAATTTTTTTTTTTTCGCATGAATGATTCATTGTAATATAAATTGAACTGCACACACACACACACACACACACACACACACACACACACACATATATATATATATATATATATATATATATATATATATATATATATATATATTCTAAAAGAAGTAATGGAATTTTTTATTTATTAGTCCGACAGATCTGTATCATTATATAGACGCTCCGTTGAGTTATTAAACAATATATTTGTTTATTTTTGTCCATCAGCATGAGTATCCATAAAATCATATTGAAGAAAATCTGTGTTCTCTGGCCTAGCGCATATTTTTCTTGAATAATGTTGTGGTGTGCTCCCTCTAGTGAGACTATTGTGGACTCTTCTACTTATTATAAAGTAGGCGGAAAAAGTAAGCCTCGGAGTGGGGGAACAGTGATATAGATTGTTCTACCGAGGCTGTGACTGTTCGTAGCTCCTGCTGAACTCTCTGCCTTAGGCAGAGAGGAACCCTTGTCTGTCGTTTTAATGAAACTGCATATATATATATATATATATATATATATATATATATATATGTGTGTGTGTGTGTGTGTGTGTGTGTGTGTGTGTGTGTTGTTGTTGTTGTTGTTGTTGTTACATGGACATTTTAACAAAGATATTCGCCATCGAAGATGATCTTTTGTTATGCTAACATAGAAGATCGCTATGCGACGATAACGGTCACGGAATAGCAGACGCAGGTCGTAAGTTCAAGATGCGGTTCTACATTGGTATAACCACACTGAACTTGGCTTAGGGATAGATAGATAGATAGATAGATAGATAGATAGATAGATAGATAGATAGATACTGAACAGATCGGGATAGATAGATACTGAACAGATCGGGATAGATAGATAGATAGATAGATAGATATGAACAGACGGAGATAGATAGATAGATAGATAGATAGATAGATAGATAGATAATGTTATTTCTTGCTGTGTTTGCAGCCAGGCAGGAGTCTGTTCTTTCGGTCAAATCCGCTTTTTATACGCCAATTGCGAACGTAGCCATGTGTGTCTGGCCCCGTTCTTGAAAAACAACAGGCAATCAGACTTCTTTGTTTCTGGAATACAAAAGAGTAACTCCATGGATCTGCTTGGCAAACAATGGCGTCAATTAAAAAAAGACAAAAAAACAAACTGAGACTGAATATGAAAAGAGGCTTGCAAATAGTTGCTAAGTCAGAGTAATTACAGAATCACTGAACGGAAAAAAAGATTGAAAGAGCAGCTAAAGAAATCAAGTTGTGAACATATTGGCAAAAAAGAGATTAAAGAGAATTGTTGTCGCCATGTCCGACGGTGACAATTTACATAAATTTTATGTCGACACGGTGCATCAAGTATTTGAGAACACAAGTACGACTGGCCTTAAATGAAAGACAATATAAACTAACATGACGCGGCTTGTGCCAAATTTTAGCATTTTCATTTTTCTTTCAGATTTATCATGAGAATTGAGATGCTAGCTCTCAATGTGAGACAAGATATAAAATAATACGATAATTGACATGGCAGCTCTCAATGTTAAATGAAAATAATACGAGAATTGATATGATAGCTCTCAATGTGAGACAAAAGACGAAATTATACGAGAATTGACATGGTGGCTCTCAATGTGAGACAAGATATAAAATAATACGAAAATTGACATGGCAGCTCTCAATATGAGACAAAATATGAAAATAATACCACTGCCGCGTAACGATCTCCACTAACCACATCAACTCAGAGATGAGTAGCTTCTTGAAAAATGTTGGGTGAACAGGAGGAAATACAGGTGACTCTGTCCGTACCACACGCTTTTACCCACGGTGTTTCATCTCTAATGGTCCTGGAGTTCATGAGCAAATGACGACTATACTACTCGACTTAGAGAACTCATTGCTTTGTTTCTGGATTTGATTAACTGAATTTTTAGCACTTTATCAACGTTTTTCAAGGTTATTTAAAACCAGATTTTAGATTGTAAGACTTTTTGGAAAATTATAATGATTTACTAAGTCCTACTAATTAACCCATATTTGGGGAGAAGAGAGGGATTCATGCCTTACTCAATGGTATTTGCGCGTAAGTGAATATAACGAACGAAACTGTGATTGGAACATCGACTCGTTATCCATTACACCATCTGCACCTGGTATTCCTGTAGTGGTTTCACAGTGGAGGCTTGTATTTGTACTAAGTCGGTCCTAAAATAGGTTCGACGTACAAAACGTTAGGAACTTGATATAATAGGTAATGACACAGTAATCTAGTTGGGATAGCTGATACTTCAATATCCGATTGACGGTCGTCCGACATCGACTGACCGACCAACTCACTGCCGACTGCCACTACTACTCTTGCTACTCCTACTTATTATAGGTGGGAGAGTCCATTAACAATAGAATAGGTATGTTTCGCTATAACAATTCCCTAGCGGGTCACCCACCTAAGTACTGACCAGGATCGACGTTGCTTAATTCCGGTGATCGTATACGAGAACCGGTGTTTCAATGTGATATGGTCATAAGTCTGTGTCTGGTGGAATCGGAAAGGTACCATTCACTACAAGGTAATGGAATATTGAAGTACCATCGCTGTAGACGTTTATTATTGGCAAAGCAATTTGACCGAGTAAAGGAAGCCGTACGTTCAACGTGTCATATTTCGGTAATCAGAAACTAATGCAAGGTACACTGCGAAACAAGTCCATGAAAAAAATAAGATCTTTACGTTGGTGGAAGACTGACCGGGTGGGGTGCTTCCACACTCTCCATCCTCAACAGATTTAAAATCTACAGATTTTCATTTCTTTTGATCATTAGAAATTGTAATAAACTGCAAAACGTTCATAAAGAATCTATTTGTGAAAACAGATTTCATTAAACGTTGAATCGAAAATCCGTTCTCCATTGGTTTTCTAGGGACCAAAATCACCATAATTCTTTTTTTTTTTTTTTGAAAATATAATAAACAAGAACCTCGATAAAGAAATATGATGGTAGTGGATTAACTCGCTTAAATACGTAGTCACGTGACAGGGGTCACATGGTATGGATATAAAAATCGTGTTCTTTCAAAAATCTTTCAGTTTACCGCTTCTTTCTGTTTTCTGAAGGGCTGCTACCCAGCGTGTAACCGCCATATAAGAAGATCTATATAGCATAACAGTTCAGTTACTTTTTTTTTATTTCTAACAAAAATTTCCTGTCTCTTAATACTTTACTTATGCGACTTCGGATTTTGGTGTCACATGTTTCCGTCCTTTGTTAAAACACTTCCTAGATAATCTAAATTGTTGTACTTGTTTGATTTTTTTTTTAACTTCGATTTGTAATTTGCAAGTTGGGCTGTTCCTTTTTCATAACAACCGTACATTCTATCTTTTTGCAATTGATGCTAAGTCTTTTCTTCTCGCTTTTCTACACTATCTTCTGTAGGAGTTCTTATATTTTTCCTTTCTTTATCTGCCATCAACACTGTGTCATCTGCATATCTTATGCTGTTTAGACTGATTCTCTCGGAATCGCCTCACTGTAGAAGTTGAGTAAGTCCGGTAAGAAGATGCATCCTTGTCTTGCATCCCTTTCTATTTTTGGATATTTACTGAATTCACTTCATGCCCGTATGCAGGTGATTTTCTCCTAGTATAAATTTTGGATTGTTCTAATATCCTTCCCTAATATGTCAAGGTTACCAAGACTTTCCAACAGTTCTTTGTGACACACTTTATCAAATGCTTTTGAATAATCTATAAAAATCTAGTTTATTTCCACCTATTACTTCTGCTGCTTCCTTAATTAAATTTTATATTGGTAGTACTAAGAATTCGTTTAAGAATTGGTGGTACCAGTATATCTTATCCCATACCAATTAATATTAGAATTTGCTGGCAAGCATACATTATGTTTCCTTGCAATTGATGGTTAGTCCTTTCTTCTCACTATCCTTCAATATCTTCTGAAGGAGATCTTTAAGTTTTCTTTCCATGTCTGCAATTAACACTGTGTCATCTGCATATATAATGTTATTAAGATCATGGCGGCCAATAATGAATCCTGGTAGGAATTCTATCAGAATCGCCTCACTATATAGATTGAAAAAGTCTGGTGAAAAGATATCTCCTTGTTTCACTTTATGCCCGTATGCAGATGATTTTCTCCAAGTATAAATTTTGGATTATTCTAATATCCTTCCCTAATATGTCAAGGTTACCTAGCAATTACAACAGTTCCTTCTGACACACTTTATGAAACACTTTCGCATAATCTATTAAACACAGATTTTGGTGTAAATCTGTCTATATTTCTGAGATGAGGTATTATGTACACTATTTACATTATTCGGACTATTGACCTCATCTTTGTCGCCATATTTATTACAACGTTTCGGCCGTTGTACGCTCCGGCCTTCTTCAGGTGGTTGGAATGTCGAACTGAACTCTTTATTTCGCTCACTGGGGCAGACTCTTCTAGTTCCACGTGCCATGTTTAATGGATGTCAGTTGTCAGTTGTCTCCTGTTAATTCCCCTCTCCAAGTTCTCCACCGCCTTTGAGTACTGTCACTGGATCTAATATGCTTCAAGGACACGTGGCACAGTGTATAAAGGCGTTAGTTAGATCTAGTGATCCATATGTTGAACTGAAGCCATAAAATTGTATTCAAAATATTTAGATTTCGGCATTAAATAACCCATAGAGGTGTTGATATGCCGCTAAAAATATCCAACATCTTAGATGCAATACATGTCCGAAAATTTGAGGCATGCATTGAGGATCGAACTCACTACTCAGCTATATTTGTTCTAGCCAGACAAGCTTGCTAACGATTACACCGCCTCGAAGTTATATACTATAGGCGGAAACATTAGAGTTAAAACGTCTTCTATTTTATGTAATGGTTGGATAAGTAAAATAAACAAATCGTATTAAGATTCTTTCATTTCTCTTTTTCAATCCCTTCCTTGTTAGTTTTAAATTTTCTGTTCACGCGAACACTTTCAACTTTTCTCAGTCTATTAGCCTTAACTTGTAGTGGAAAACATTAAACCAACCGACTTTTTCTTTCTGTCGCTAATACCCGCAGCTAAACCCCAGTGACCATCAGACAGCGACTGGCGTCTTTAAAAGTTATGCATTAATAACGCCCACCGTGTCGAGAAGCCTCGATTATGGTGTGTGCAAGTATCCGTTTAGTGTGTTTTCATTCTTTTTTGATGAGAAACTTCAGAAATGGCCGATTATCCCCTTGATCTCAGTGAACATCGGAATACCACACTAGGGCCTTTCATTGCATTTCTGGAAGCAAGGGGAGATATCTCATTGTACATTTGAATATCACACTAAGGACTTTCATGCCATTTCTGGAAGCAAGTGGTGATGTCTCATTCTACATCTGAATACCACACTAGGGCCTTTCTTGGCATTTCTGGAAGCAAGGGGAGATATCACATTGTACATTTGAATACCACACTAGGGCCTTTCATGGGATTTCTAGGAGCAAGGGGAGATATCTCATTGTACATTCTCTCAGTCTTCAGATGTTTGTATAACTAATTCTAATTTCTATATTCCCATCTTTATACTATATTAATTCTTTCTTATAAATTGTTTCCTGTACTGTCATCCATGAAATAAAAATAATTGTTTGTACGGAAAATAAGGATCTACGTACATCAAATCATCTTTAAATTAAATGGCAGCAGAAGAATTATCGTTGAACTTTTAAACAGTAAGCTTAAACATTAATTCAGTACTTAAATGCCGCTCGAAGACACATGACACAGTGGATAAAGGCGTTAGTTAGATCCAGTGACAGGACCCAAAGAGTGTGAGTTCAATACCCGGTTAAGGCAGTGGAGAACTTGAAGAGATAACAGGAGATAACTGATAATCGACATCATTAAACATGGCACGTGAAACTAGAACAGTCTACCCCAGTGAGCGAAATAAAGGGTTCAGTTCGACATTCCAACCAGCTGAAGAAGGTCGAGCGTACAACGGCCGAAACGTTGTAATAAATATGGCGACGAAGATGAGGACAATAGTCCAAATAATGTACATAATACCACATCTCAGAAATATAGACAGATACAGAATAATATATCTAAAACAAATTGCATTTTTTCTAGATCCTTCTTACCAATTCATCAAGGGAAGGAGAGTCAAACCAACCCAACGATTTGTCTATTAACCAATACCATTGTGATTTAATATGATTTTAATATCACTATTAACTCGGAACTCTATTTACTTTTTATTCAAAAGGCCTTTTCCATGTGATAAGTGTGATCACAAATGCGTTAACGACACCAGACAACGTTGTTTAATTCATGGCCCTTTCATGTTCGGGTATAGATGTTTTTAAATCACGAAATGTTTCATCAATGTATTTTCGGGGGTTTTGTTTACAATCTATTTAGTCAATTTCTTCTGATGCAAAATTAGCTCCCTGTTTTGCATTGAAAGTTGAATCAATATAAAATAAATAGCTAATTTGACATGTCATGTAATGTGGGACCATTGCGTTCATCCTTTTACCGAGGATAAAAGCTGTGATGAAGAGGCACAATTAATAACTGATTCACATTGTTTTCTTTCCTTCCTTTTACTAATCATAAGAAGATGTAGAAATGGAAAAGGCGACACTGAAATTCGAAGGCACATTAGAATGGCAAAAAGATGCCTTCTAAAAACTAAGAAAAGTACTAAGAAACAGGAAAATTTTGTTAGAAACACAAAGAAAATAGTGTTGAACAATGTAATATCACTCCTCCTATATGGCAATGAATACTGGACAATTCCCTTACAGATGAAGAAGAGACTTAAAGCAACTGAAACAAAGTAAATAGTACTGAACTGTTATGTAATATCACCCCCCCTACGTGGCAACAAATATAGATGAAGAGAAAACTGGAGGCAAAAGAAATGTCGTTCTACAGAAGGATGCTGAGAATATCATTGACGGAGCGCGTAAGCAACTAAAAAGTCTTAAGAGAGATGGAAATAAGGGCACTTATATTCAGAATCGGAAAGAGACAGCGGAAATGTCTGGGATAGATAATGAGGACGGAAGGTTTGGAAAATTTGACCCTCACAGGACATAGTCAATGCAAAAGTTGTAAAGAAGCAGCGAGTCACCAATCTGACGATTTTATGTAAATGGATGGCAGGGCGGGGAGTGAGAGTAATGATAAAAGAAAATCATTACTAAGAGCTAAAAAGGGTAGGAAAATGTGGAGAGCTATGTTCGCCCACGTCCTGAAGGGACGCGGAACACAGAAGAAGATTTTCCTCTTGTTTGTAAATTTTACCCAGCGATTCCATAAAATAGTTCCTGACCAACAATGGAATTTTTACAAACATTATTATGTTTTGCCGTATTATGGAAGCATCCATTTTCAACAATTTCTCTTCTGTGTTCTGCATCAAAGAAAGTAGAAAGAAGAAAAAACACACTGTATAATTCTTAGGAATTTGATACCTACGAGGGACCACTCTACTTAAGTAGTCCGTAAAAATTTATACCA